ATACACAAATATTTACATTACTAATCATAACTAGCAAAATTACAGTTATGAAGTAGTATCGAAAATAATTTTATGGTTGGGGTCACCACAACATGAGGAACTGTAATAAAGGGTTGCAGCCTTCGGAAAGCTGAGAATCACTGTCATAGAGGATCATACGCTGTTTCAGCTGTGGCTAGAACTCCTTTGGGAATATACTGAAATCTAGGTGGCTCACACCTGCAATTCCAACACTCATGACACTGGGTTCTGGGTTACAGAGTAAGATTTTTATTTAAAAAGAAAAAGAAAAAAAAAGGTCAGTAGTGGCACAGGCCTTTAATCTCAGCACTCAGGAGGCAGAAGCAGACATATTTCTGTGAGTTCCATGACAGGCTCTAAAGTTACACAGAGAAACCCTGTCTCAGGGGCGTGGGGGGGGGTTGAGGGTGGGGGGGACAAGAGATGGCCAGGTATGGTGGCACATACTTTTAATCCCAGCACTGGGGGGCAGTGGCAGGTGGAGTTCTGTGAGTTCAAGGTCATCCTGATCTACAAAAAACAAAAGCTTAAGGATTAAGAACACTGGTGGCTCTTGCAGAGGGGGAGAACAGGGGTTCTGTTCCCAGCAGTTACACACACGGCAGCTCACATCATAGTAACCCCAGTTCCAGGGGATTGTACACTCTGCTGGTCTCCTCTGGCACCAGGCACGGATGTGCACAGACATGCATGCAGGCAAAACATCCATGCACATAAAATAAAATTGCTTTAAATATTAAGGGTGTAGGAAGATTCAACAGGTAGCGGTGCGTGATGTTCTTTGGGGATTTTTGTTTTTTGTTTTGTTTGTTTTTACAAGACACGGTTATAACAGCTCTGGCTGTCCTGGAACTGCCACTGCTGCGTACACCAGGCTGGCCTTGAACTCACAGAGATCCACCTGCCTCTGCCTCCCGAGTGCTGGGATTAAAGGCGTGTGCCACCACCACCTGACCTATTTTTGTTTTTCTAGATAAGGTTTCTCTGTGTAGTCCTGACTGTCCTAGAACTCACAGAGATCCACCTGCTCTGCCTTCCAGTGCTGGATTAAAGGCCTGAACCACCCGGCATAAATAAATGCCACCACCGCCCGCAAATAAAATCTTTAAAAATTACACAAAAAATTATTTGGAAAAGTGTGTGTGTGTGTGTGTGTGTGTGGCTGTTTTGTAGCTCCATCTTTTTAATCAGCCACTCAATCACTGTGGTGATGATTACTAAACCATACCTATCACTGGAACCTCGATTTCACATAGGTGTCATGTGGAGAAGTTAGAGAAAATCCTGTTTTCACAACATCCAGCTTTGTGTCTCCTCTACAGTTGGTCACGTTGCAGTCTATTTGTGCTGTTTATGGTTGTGACAGTCTCACTAGGTGTACTGCTGGCTGGTCTGGAACTTACTAGTAGAGCAGGCTAGCCTTGACTTTGGGTCAATCTTTTGTCTCAAGAGTGCTGGTCTCGAAAAACCAAAAAAAAAAAAAAAAAAAAAGAGTGCTGGGATTACAGGGGTGGCCAATGAAGGGCTTCAACCTATCTGTATCTATCTATCATCTATTTATTTATAATTTTTTTAAATATTTATTTATTTATTACATATACAATATTCTGTCTGTGTGTATGCCTGCAGGCCAGAAGAGGGCATCAGACCTCATTACAGATGGTTGTGAGCCACCATGTGGTTGCTGGGAATTGAACTCAGGACCTTTGTAAGAGTAGGCAATGCTCTTAACCTCTGAGCCATCTCTCCAGCCCTATTTATAATTTTTTTTTTTTTTTTGGTTTTTTGAGACAGGGTTTCTCTGTGGCTGGAACTAGCTCTGTAGACCAGGCTGGTCTCGAACTCACAGAGATCCGCCTGCCTCTGCCTCCTGAGTGCTGGGATTAAAGGCGTGCGCCACCATCGCCCGGCTCCTATTTATAATTTTTAACAATTTATTTAACTTTATCTCATGTGCGGTGGTGTGAAGGTGTCAGATCCCCTGGAACTGGAGTTACAGACAGCTGTGAACTGCCATGTGGGTGCTGAGAATTGAACCCGGGTCTTCTGGAAGAATAACCAGTGCTCTTAACCACTGAGTCATCTCTCCAGCCCCTATTTATTTATTATTTTTGATATAGAATCTCACTATATATCTGGCTTGCAAATTGCTATGTAGAGCAGGCTGACCTTGAATTCACAGAGCTCTGCCTGCCTCTCCTCCTGGTGCTGCAATTGAAGTGTGTGCCACCACAGCAAGCTACAAATTAGATATAAATACTTTCTTTTTCTTCTCTTGAGGCAGGATCTCTCTATATAGCTCTGACTGCCCTGGAACTTGCTATGCAGACTAGCTAGGCTGGACTTGAAATACTGGAACTAAAAACATGTACAGTCCACATTCAGTTTAAAAATTATTTTTAGGGCTGGAGAGGTGGTGTAGAGGTTAAGAGAACTGGCTACTCTTTCAGAGGATCTGGGTTCAATTCCCAGCTCCCACATGGCAGCTCACAACTGTCTGTAATTCCAGTTCCAGGGGACCTGACATCCATGGCAAAACATCAATGCACATGATAAATTAAAATAAGTAGGAAACACACACACACACACACACACACACACACACAATTCCTTTTAATACTGTTCATGTGAGGGGCTCTGGCTATAGAATGCCCATAGAGGTATGTACGCTGGGAATCCAACTCAAGTCCTCTGAAAGAGAAGTACATGATCTTAATTGCTGAGCGTCTTTCCAATCTCCCAAACTGTATTCTTCGCAGTTGGTAGTGTTACTGGCTTCTAAAATGGCAAACCTCTCCCCCAACGCTGGAAATTGTTCAAGAAACAAGGGGGAAAGGACCAGACTCAACCAGCAGGTTCTATAAACCACACACAGGATTAGTCCTAGAGAAATACACATGGATCTTATATAAAATACAATTCCCCAGAAAACAAAACCAAAAACAAACAAACAAGCAAACAAACAAAAAGCCCTGGCTTCCAAAAAAAAACAAAAACAAAAAACAAAAAAACAAACAAAAAACTACAACTCCCAAGAAGCCTTAAGGCTTTTTGAAAGGACGGGTAGCGCATGCTTGATTTCGCTCTCTAGGAAGTTAAATGGAACTGCAATTCCCAGGAAACTCCATACTATTGATCACCCAATCAGCGCTATGTATAAACTATCGCGAGGCTCTGATGAGACTTCATCGTATAAGCTCATGGGAACGAGAATAGGCCACCCTTTTCGTCAAGATGGCGCCGAAAGCGAAGAAGGAAGGTGTGTAGCGGCATGGGGCTGTGGCGGGTTGGCCCGGGATCTCCGCAGAGCGGAAGCACGGGGAAGGTGGCCGCTGGGCTAATCCATGGGGGACTTGTTTTGGGGCTCCTGTCGCGATTAGGCCCACACTACAGTGTATGAGGACCGCGTGGGCCAAGCCGCATGGGCTGGTTCTAGTGAAGGGAGTCGGAAAGGGCACCCAGCCGGCATCACTCGCCGCTGATCGCCAAGCCGTTGGCTTTCGGAAGGTAGTTAAGATCCACAGGATGGCCGGGCAGTGGTGGCGCACGCCGTTAATCCCAGCACTCGGGAGGCAGACAGAGGCAGATCTCTGTGAGTTTGAGGCCAGCCTGGTCTACAAGAGCTAGTTCCAGGACAGGCTCCAAAGCTACAGAGAAACCCTGTCTCGAAAAGCCCCAGCAGGTTTGCGCTCCGTGTCTCCATACCTATAAGAGATGTCCTTTTTTTTCCCCCACTTAAAACGGGAAAAATGCACCAAGTTGACGTTACTCCGGGTTAATTAGCTTCGCCTGCAATATCGTGCATATGATGGATAAAACTTTGTCTCCTGAGACCTATGATGTCTTCAAAGGAACCACTGATGCGCGTGTTGACAGGGCCGCCGGAAAGGATCAGTTTATGAATGCTGCAGTCTAAGTTACATTTCCTTCCCTCTCAGCTCCTGCCCCTCCCAAAGCCGAAGCTAAAGCGAAGGCCTTGAAAGCCAAGAAGGCAGTGCTGAAAGGCGTCCACAGCCACAAAAAGAAGAAGATCCGCACATCGCCCACCTTTCGGCGTCCCAAGACCCTGCGGCTACGAAGGCAGCCTAAATACCCCCGGAAGAGCGCGCCCAGGAGGAACAAGTCAGTACCCCGTACCCACTAGTATGTTGTAGGGCTCTAGTGTTGGTAATTTAACTACCTACACAGTAGTTGGCCTTATAAAACACATAATTGTCCAATGTGCTGCTCTGGTGGAGGCGTGAGATCTTTGTATGTTAATTATTAACACGTGATCAGTATTTGAATACTTGAAAGAGAGTGCTTATCTTAGGGTTCCAAGTGTCATGGCATTTCTTGTTGGAAGGAACACATGTGAGTGAGAGAGTGGGTTGATTACTTTATCTGCATTGGGCAGTGATGCCCTCCTAATTAATCTTGTATAGAAGTAAACTTTCAATTAAGTCTTAGCAAGTCTTAACGCCGTTCAAAGGAAGTTTGGAGGAATGGAAGAAATGTGTTTACTGAAAAAGCCATGACAGGATTGTGTCTATGGGGGTCAGTAGTTTTGAGGCACCTCGTCTTCCTGTTAGGACCTAGAGTTTTGTGTGAGGCTTGACCGGGCTTCAAAACAAAAGTTGTCCAGGTAGTAGTGGTGCACACCTTTAATCCCAGCACTCAGGAGGCAGATCTGGGCAGGCAGGTCTCTGAGTTTGAGGACAGCCTTGTCTACAGAGTTCCAGGACAATCATGGATATATAGAGAAATCTGGCTTAAGGGGTCGACAACACACAAGTGGTGACTATTCCTGGGGCATTTTGCCCCTAGTGCTCAGGTGCACGTGATGACACTGTATAGCGACCAAAGTCTGATACAGATGATTGCTGTTTTATTGTCTGATGCACCTACTCTTTCCTAGACTTGGGCTCCAAAGTGTACCACTCTTGAATCTACAGCAGTTTTACTCCATTTTGTTCCATCCCTGCTAGGCTTGACCACTATGCCATCATCAAATTCCCCCTGACCACCGAGTCAGCCATGAAGAAGATAGAAGACAACAACACACTTGTGTTCATTGTGGACGTCAAGGCCAACAAGCACCAGATCAAACAGGCTGTGAAGAAACTCTATGACATCGATGTGGCCAAAGTCAACACCCTCATAAGGTGAGTGGGGCCAGGCAGGAAGGGCTGTGTCGGTTTACTTTTTACTTAACTATCCCGTGGTTTCTTGGTGACCCTTACCCCCCTTTGCGCAAATGATGGAAAACTCAAATGTTTGGAAAAGAATGACACCAGCAAAGGAACCACTGATGCAGCGAGGGAGGAGGGGAGGAATGTGGAGGGCTTGGGGGTGTAAGAGCACTCAACTTTGAGGCTTCCTTCTCCACTCAGGCCCGATGGAGAGAAGAAGGCGTATGTTCGGTTGGCTCCTGATTATGATGCTCTGGATGTTGCCAACAAGGTAAGCATCCTGTCCAATCTGTTCTGTGTCTACGCTCGGTCTGCCTGTATTCCCCACTTTCTCCATCTTGCCATCCCAGCTCCTTTAACCTTAAACAATTACAGCTCCACAATCACAGCTCCTTGTTGTTTTTCAGATTGGAATCATCTAAACTGAGCCCAGCCAGCTAATTCTAAATATACACTTTTTCACCATAAATAATGCTGCTTGTCTTTTTTTTTTTTTCACTTTCTGGTTGGGCTGCTGACATTGCTGTACTGCGGTGTACACTAAGGTATATGCTTATATGGGGTGGGTGCTGGGAAGTGTTTTCCCAGCTCTGAGCAAAATATAAATCTATTTACTCCATTGGAACCACGATGCTACTCTTAGAGCCTTCATGCCTAGGTACCAGAGGTATTTATTACTTCAGTGTTAGTTGTCCTGGGGCATACCCCCATCAGAGGTTCAGAGCACAAACTTTACAAGAGTTCCTTCCTTTATCCCTGGGAAAGCCTGTTGTGAAACCAATACCAGAGTTTGGAAGAGCAGAGGGGTTATTTTAGAGTCGCCAGCATCCATTTCAGGGTGGTGTGGGTTGACTGGCTTTTGGACAGTGTCTCGTCCTCACCCATCCTACCGTGTCCAACCGGTTGGTCTGCTTCCCTCACCCCTTGCCCAAGAAGACTTCAGAGAAGAGCTTTCATTAGTGTTTTCAATAGTGTGGGTGTAGGCTTAAGGTGGAAAAGCTGTCCCAGAATACACCCAGGCTTGAGGCAGACAAGAGTCCTAGTTTGTTACAAAGCTGTTGGCTGTGCTTGCTGCTGTCCCTGCCACATGTCCTGGGTTATCCTTTCTCACTCAGTCAAGAATTTGTCTTTGTGTTGGCGGCTGGGAGCACGTTCAGGGCAGAAATCCGAGCGAAGGAGGCGGGAAAAGTAGATGAGGATCATCAAGTCCAGCATGAGCAAGATGACCAACAAAAATGTTCCCAGGGTCCTCTCGCCAGCATACTGCAGGAAGAACTTGGTGAGGTAGACTTGGGGGGCCAGGCGGAAGAGAAAGTACATGACCAGGTTGACATACTTGTTGATGCGGTACAGGAGGAGATGCTGTGCGTTGTTTATCTTCATCATCATCCTCAGTGTGAGGAAGATGTTGCTGACCTCCACCAGGAGTGTTAAGACGCCCCCACCAACAAAGCTTTTCCAAAAGATGCCAGAGAAGAAGGCGCCCATAGCCTATGGAGCAAGTAACAGAACAAGGGATGAAAGGTGTCTGTCTTTCTGGGTACACACAACCAACATTACCTAAGATTAAGACATTCCTAGTCTGTTTAAATAGGCGAGGCCCGGAGGGAGCAGTAAGTCTTAGGCAACCTAGAGGTCGGACACTGCTGGGGTTAGTATCACACCACTGGTTTCTCACCATCACATGATGAACAAGGTATTCCCAAGAAGCTCTAGTCTGTTTACTAAGCACGATGTCCACCGTGTCGTGGATGAAGTACCCTAGTGGAGGGGGAGGGAAAGAAGAACAGACTGGAGCACTGACTACTAGCTGCCTCCAGCATCTTACTCTCAGTCTCCTTGGGCACAACCTACCTGCGGAGAAGCACACAAGCAAGTAGCCAGAAAGTGACCATGCCGTCTCAATCTCCACCAGCATTTCAGGGGTTTGCCATATGCTGGAACGGAGAAAAGGGATGTTCTCGCGGTTGCAGCCTCCCGGAGGACCCTCACCTCCCCCAACACTTGCCAGTCCCAGGGCACTCTGGGCGCCCACTATTGGCTGATTGGAGAGTGAGGAGGGGCTTGGCCGAAGCCCAGGTACCTCGGGTTTCCCACAGCCGTTTTCGGTTGGGTAGTTTTCCAAACAGGGAATCAGGTGAGATCCTTGGCGTCTGTTCACCCGTGAGTGATGGTAATAGCAACAGGGAGACCAGTCCGAGCAACCCGCGTAAGATCCCACGGCCATCTCACTACCCCGCTTGTTCACTCACCACAGCAGTGCCCAGATCCCTGATACAATGGAGTGGGTGAAGGAGACGAGTAGGTTATGCCAACGCCAGGTGCGCAGGGGGTCGGAGCGCACGTGAGCGGGCAGAGGCAGGCGACAGAGCGCGCGCCGGAGTGCCCGGAAGGTCAGCGTGGCGCCGAGGAGCAGCGGCCAGGCGGGGTGCAACAGTAGGTGCATGCTGGCCCTCCCTGCCGTCCGTCTGTCTGTCCTTTAGGCCGACTCCTCCGGCAGTTCTGGGAACACTACTCCGTCTCCGGCCAGCGAGCCACGGTCGCTTCTGCCGCGGGCCGCCAGACCCACAGTTTCACGGAGCCCTCAAGGCCCCTTCGCTCCTCCCCGCGCTCCAGGCAAGGCCTCTGCCCGCCCCTGCCGCCCGCGCCCCCGCCCCGCCCCGCCGCCTGCCCCCGCCCCTCGGGCGCCTCTGCCGCGAGGAGGGCGCGAGCCCCGTGTCCCCCGGGGCCCCGCCCGGATCCCGCCGACTTCGAGCGCGAAGGGCTTGTCCCCGCCATCGTGGCCGAGGCACCCCTCTCTGGCGCCTCCCGACAGCCGAAGGCGTCCTCGGCCCCTTTAGTGCGTGCGTCCCCACTTTCTCTGCGGCCACCGGCTCCCACACCCTGGGCGGGGACCGCGAGAACGCTCCTCTTCTCAACTATTTTCAGGGCAGAACTGGGCGGGACCATCACACACCGGGGTCCGCTCAATCCTGCTCCTGGAGGATCGGGAGCGCCGCGTCGGACTGTGGCTCCGCCCAGAATCGAGTCCTCTCCGGGACCTAGACCGACGTGTTTACCTGCCTCTCCCGCGCCCCTCACGAATGGTGCTTAGGAACTGTTGAGTCACCCATCATCACACTTCTCCCCACCACACTCGGGCTCCTGGAGCCTAGCGGCTGTCACAGTCCTCCCTCAGACAGTCCCAACCCTCTTCTGGCTCCTTGGAGGCTGGGGCGGGGAAGGCTGCGGATTTGCCCAGACAGCTGGGGTGACCCTCTCTCCAGGACAGTGGCCCGAAGCAGTTGCGGCTTCTGGCCACTAGGTGTCAGCCTGCGCTTACTGTGGTGCGGTCTCCAAGCCCGCCTCACCGTGAGAAGGCAGTTCTGCGGAGCGGGATAATCAGACACAGGAAAGAGAAGGGCCGGGAAGTGATGTGGTGTGCTTTAGGGAGGTGGAAGTAGAGGACGCGAGCAGAAAGTGGAGACTGGGAGAAGTGTTTTAAAATGGGGGGAAAAAAACTAGAAAGCGGCGCTAGGACACCCAGGGACCAAAGCCTTTTGGGTGTTTGCTGTTCCCCTGATGGTTCCCGGGTTACACATTAACTCCCTTGGGGCTCCAGGGTCACCGAAGGCCCAGTTGGTTACTAAGAGACAACAAGATGTGTTGTCTTGGGTGAGCAGTTTACCCTTTCTTGTTCCCAAGTTCCCAGTTTGCTCACGGAAAGCACGTCCACCAGCGACTCCGGCCTGAGCCAGTGACTGCAGGTTCCCTCTGGTCTTTCCACGTAGGCTAGCTCTGGGCGGGGCGGGGACAAAAGATAAACAACCCTTCCCACGCCTTCCTCACCCATTCAGGAATAGGGACGTTAACCCGTGGCTAACGACCACCTCCTGAATACTGGGGTTTTAGAGCAGCGGCGTCATGAATAAGGATGAAATAAACCCGGTCCAAACTAAGTAAGTTAGTGATACTTACTAACCAGCCCACTATTTCTGGACAGAAGAGTAGGACCCACTTGGGCCCTCCCCGCCCTCCACCCTGACACTTTCGGGTAGAGGCTACTTCCACTCCCATCTCACCCCCAGCAGGTTCGCGATGAGCACCGAGGACTGGGTCCCCTTAGTGCGTTTTGTGCTGGCTTCTGAAAAGCCGAGAGCGCGGTGCTCAATACTTGTGACAACCTGGAGGCCACGTCACACGTACTCTCCAGGTGAATCAGTTTGCCCACCTGGGGTTTTCCCGGTCACTCCCTTGGCAAACACCAAACAACCCTCGCGTTCCGCCCCACACAGCACGCTCTCGGTGGTTTCTCCTTTACGAGCCAGAAAGGAATCCCTTTATCTTCCTGAAGTAGAGCCACGCCTAGGCAGCGGGGACTGCTTCCTCGCTTCCCACTCCCATTAGACCTTTGGGGGACAGTCTTGTTGGCGCGGGGCAACTTAAGTGAGCGCCGCATCGCTCCAGTCTAACGACCAATGCCGAGTCACGCGTGGACAAAGTGGCTGGTAGGACGCCGAGCACTAAGGGGCTCGCCAAGAAACCCGGAATGTCATTCTCCGACTCCTCGCGGGGGGCAGGGCCGTAGGGGAAACACGACTCACAGTCCAAGAAAAGGCGCGGGACTTAACAGACCGCCCCGTTCGCCCGCTCCGCCCTGAAAAAATCTTACGGCTACAAGGCGGAGCACCCGGGTGGGCGGGGACGCGCACGCGCCGCACGGGAATTCCAGAAGCGTATCTGAGACATGAGATGGAGAAGTACGAGCGGATTCGAGTGGTGGGAAGAGGTGCCTTCGGGTGAGCCAGGGCTGTGGGGAGGAAATGCTAAGGGAGAAAGAAAATGAGCGTTCGAGACCAGCCTGGTCTACAAGAGCTAGTTCCAGGACAGGCTCCAAAACCACAGAGAAACCCTGTCTCGAAAAACCAAAAAAAAAAAAAAAAAAAAAAAAAAAAGAAAATGAGCGCCAATTCTGAACAAGAAATAATAGCCCTGCTGGCACCGCCCCAAAGCGGGAGGGCCACTCCAGAATGCCCCGCCCAGGCATCCTGCCCTTAGGTCTAGGCGGGAAGCCCCGCCCCCGGCGGGAACACGCCCACCAGACCAGTCAGTGCTCTTGGAAAGTGGTTGTTCTCACCAATTGCTTGTTCTTTGCTGCAATTGATAATGAGAGTTAGCTACACAGGTCAGACTGTTCGGAGTATATATACAGTTATGACCAAAGCAGGCTTGATACTTCCCCGTTACGAACTTAGCTCATAAGAAATTGATACAAATAAACAGGATATTCTTTTTTTTATAAGTTCTTTTTTCTTTTTTTAACTTATTTTATGTGCATTGGTGTGAAGGTGTCAGATCCCCTGCAACTGGATCTTCAGACAGTTGTGAGCTGCCATGTGGGTGCTGGGAATTGAACCCTGGTCCTCTGGAAGAGCAGTCAGTGCTCTTAACCACTGAGCCATCTCTCCAGCCCCTAAACAGGATATTCTTAAAGCAGTTAATAAAGTTTGAACAGTTATGAACAGTTATTAAGAGGCTGCGCACCAGATGGGATGGTATATGACTGTAATTCCAGTATTTGGTAGCAGATACAGATTTTGTATATTCGAGGCAAATCTGGTCTACAAAGAGATTGTCTCCAAAAGAAAAAAATTAAAAGACAGCAAGCCAGTTTTTATGGTATATGCTGGGTAGGGTTGGACTACATAACTAGCTGAAGGTCAGCCTGGGCAACTTAGCCATTCCCGTCTCCAATTTTAGAAAAGACAAAAAGGGGGGACTGAGGATCTATATAGGTGGTAGAGCTCCTGCCTAGCATGCTTGCTTCAGTTTCTAAGAACCAAAAGGCAACTTGGAAAGGAAGACTCCTCTAGGAGGTGCAATGTAAAGTCAAGACTTGAAGAAATGAGGACCAGGCAGTCCTTGTAGTAGATGAAGCAGCATTTGCCATGATCCCCCACCAGGAAAACGTATATAGCACTCAAGAAACTGAGAAAACGACCAGTGTAGTTGGGATGTAGTGGGCAAGGTAGAGAATGTGACTGCCATGGAGGGCGGGACCAGACTATGATCTTGTAAACTGAAGGAAGAGGTGACGTTGATTTAAAGTATAAAAGCAAGAGGGTTTTTGTCTTGTTGTGCTAGAGATCAAACTCACGGTGTCATAAGAGCTACACCCCAAACCAGGGAAGAGTCTGAAAACTGAAATGGGGTGTGGTGGCCCACACCTGCACCAGCGGTGGAGGTAGAAGCCTGAGGACAGGCGATTCAAGGTCTTCAGCTAACTGTCTGTGCTTCACAGCAAGTTCAGGCTCTGCCTGGGCTGCGTGACATTGTGTGTCTGAAGAAAAGAAAAGCAATGGAGTGAATTTTTTTTTTTTTTTGATTTTCGAGACAAGGTTTCTCTGTAGTTTTTGGTGCCTGTCCTGGAACTAGCTCTTGTAGACCAGGCTGGCCTTGAACTCACAGAGATCCCCCTGCCTCTGCCTCCCGAGTGCTGGGCCAGTGGAGTGAATTTTACAAGGACATTCTCAGGCTGAGGCTGGAGCTCAGTGTTAGACGGATTTGACTCCCAGCACTAGGAGACTAAACCAAGTGTCATTATGTCTGCTATGTAGAGTTTAGACCTAAAAGTGATGGGAGTGGAAAGGGCTGTGTTAGGAGGCCAGGGGACATTTTTGTTCCGTTTTGTTTTTCCAGACAGGGTTTCTCTGTGTAGCCCCAGCTGTCCTGGAACTACTCTGTAGACCAGGCTGGCCTCGAACTCAGAGATCTGCTTGCCTCTGCCTCCTGAGTGCTGGGATTAAAAGCCTGCACCACTACTGCCCAACTTTTTATCTAAATTATTTAGCTATTATTTTTTTTTTCGGTGGGGGCATTTTTAAGTAAGAAATTACTGTCATCTCTAGAGGCAATTCAGTTATCAATAGCTCTGAAGGCTGAGTTCTTTCTACAGACCTCTACCCAGAAAACAGTTTCAGAACCTGGTATTTCAGGCCGTGACAGCAATGCAGGCCTTTAATCCCAGCACTCAGAAGGCAGAGGCGGGCAGAATTCTGTGAGTTTGAGGTCAGTCTGGTCTATAGAGCAAGTTCCAGGATAACCAGGGCTACATAGAGAAACCCCTTGTCAAAACAAAACAAAACAAAACAAAAAAACAGAAAAAGAGAGAGAGAGGGAAAGAGAGAAAGGAAAACAAAAAGAAAACCAGGAATCAATTTCAGCACTTAGGAAGCTGAGGGAAGGTAATTCAAGGCCAAGCTCCGGGACAAAGTGAGTTTTTAAGGTCATCCTGTGCTACATAGTAACACTCCATTTTAAGACAGCCCAGTGGTTTAGAGCCCTTATTCTCGGAGATGACCCCTGTTTATTCCGAGTACCCACGAGGTGACTCACAAACATTTGAAACTAGTTCCAGGGGTACCTAACATCCTCTTCTGGCCTCTGTGAGCACATACATGCAGGCCGGCAAAACATTTATGCACATAAAATAAATATCTTTAAAAACCTAAATTGGGCAGTGGTGGTGCATGCCTTTAATCCCAGCACTTGGGAGGCAGAGGCAGGCAGATCTCTGTGAGTTCGAGGCCAGCCTGGTCTACAAGAGCTAGTTCCAGGACAGAGAAAACAAAGCTACAGAGA